AATAGGTGTCGTGTGCCCATTATGTTCATTCGACAAAGAGAGTGATGAGGGGAAAGCGGGGAAAAGTCACAAAATCAATAGCCATCTGGCTCAATCGAAGACGCGCATGGAGCATCTCTGATGTCCCCCAATATAGGTGAATGGTAGATCAAACTAACACGAACCCCCTCTTCCCCCAGGGACATTTATAAGTGTAATAAACTCACTAACGTAATGGTTTCATCGCCTGCTTTTGCGGCTTACAAAATTAAGCGCTCCATGTTTTGCTTTGCGCGTCAGTGCTTAACACTTTCCCATCCACGTGTCCGACATCCAAACGGTGTAAGAGCCGTCGCTTTGGCGGGGTGAAGCGTGTCTGTGAATGGGCTCATATAGGGGAGGAGGAGGATTGGCACATGGGGGTGGAATGACACATGGCGACAGCTATGGTGAGGTGTGATCCAGTGGCAGAAGGCGCATCCATAAATGTGAATTGGTGCCCCTCTGCCTAGGTGTGAAGTGCGACACGCGGTGCCCGGCGCGGACCGGTTCCCAGGCTCCCTGCACGTGCATCATGCTCTGAGGTGTCAATTTATCCACATGTCATTTGCTCACACTTTTAGGACACATTCTGTTAGGGTTAAGCTCTGAACCTGGCGAATCATTTAGCAGGGAAGGGAAACACATTTTATGTAGTCGCAAGGGTTAGAGTTCACCCTAAAATGAAAATTACTCACCATAAGGCTACACGCCTTTTGGTTCTACGTCTTTGTGAAGTGTTCTATTCTCCTTTATGAGTGTCTATTTTATATTATAGTCGTCACTCGTCAATGCCTATACTAGTTTTCAATATTCATCCAAATATATTTTGTCTTTAACAGAAGAAAGAAACCAAAACAGGTTTGGAACAAGTAAAGGAAGATTAAATAAATAACAATATTTTCATTTTTGGATAAACTATCCCTCCAAAACACAGAACTGACTAATTTTTATGACTGTTCCCTTCTATGCCAAACATACACAAACAGCTACTATTATTTCTGTAGATTATTTGCTTGAATCCCTCAAGTACAATTTCCTAGGCCCACACGGAATGTACGCGCGCAGAATTCCGCAGCTTTTCCGCAATTTTTAGCCCATCATTAATTCTGTTTACTTTAGTAAACGTGTGTAAATCTATATTTATTCAGTTTTTAAATAAAGTACAGTAATATTATTGACTAATATGAAAATGTTCATCTGATTTATACAATGCAGTTTGTAAAGTAATATTTTATTTTAGTAGATATATATTATATGAGAGTTGTTTACCAAATAAAGTGAATCTAATTGGATTTGCATTCTAAACATTAAATAAAAGTTAAAAAGATATGATTTTTTTTTATTTCGCATATTAAGGTTTTAGTTATGATACTACCAAAATAATTCTGCAAAAATCTGCAGATTTTTTTCTAAAGTTCTCTGCTGAAGTAGTAAAAAAACGTCTGCAGATTCCATCTAGCCCCACTTATGATCAGCTGTTTTAAACTGAATTACCATTTGTCAGTCTTCATGGATAGTAAAGTGTCATCCAGGGACTTACTGCTTACTATTTTTAAAATATGAATTTGTTCATGGTCACACGGTGGCTCAGGGGTTAGCACTGTCGCCTCACAGTAAGAAAGTCACTGGTTCGAACCCTGGCTAATTGGCATTTCTGTATGGAGTTTGCATGTTCTCCCCATGTTGGTGTGGGTTTTGTCTTTGTGCTCCGGTTTCCCAAAGACATGCACTATAGGTGAAATAAATGAACTAAATTGGCCATACTATGGGTGTATGGATGTTCAGTTCTGAGTTGCACCTGAAAGGGCATCCGCTGTGTAAAACGTTCAATTCAATTCACCTTTATTGTATAGCACTTTTACAATGTAGATTGTGTCAAAGCAATTTCACATAGAATATTATAGTAAACTGAAACAGTATCAGTTCAGTTTAGCTCAGTTCACTGTGGTTCAATATTCAATACTGAGAGATCTCTTTGTGGTTTGGTCTAGGCCAGGAGTGGCCAACCCTGTTCCTGGAGAGCCATGCACCTTCCTGCAGATTTCAGGTGCAACCCATATCAAACACACCTGCCTGTAATTATCATGTGGTGTTCAGGTCCTAATTAATTGGTTCAGGTCTGTTTGATATGGGTAGCAACTGAAATCTGCAGGAAGGTGGCTCTCCAGGAACAGGGTTGGCCACCCCTTGGTCTAGGCTCTGGGTATATGAGCTAGCTGCCATTTTTCTGATCTTTTCATCTAATATCACAAAACAAGCTCATTCATTCATTCATTTTCTTTTTGGCTTAGTCCCTGGTCGCCACAGCGAAATAAACCGCCAACTTAGCATATGTATTACGCAACGCATGACCTTTCAGCTGCAACCCATCACTGGGAAACAACCATACACACTCATTCACAGACATACACTATGGACAATTTAGCTTACCCTATTCACCTGTACCGTATGTCTTTAGACTGGGAAACCCGAGCACCCGGAGGAAACCCACGCCAGCAGAACGAGCTCCTAAAAGGAAAAAAATATGGAGAGTAGATGCTGTCCTTCTGCTCTGATAGCTGCAAAACTATTGAATGCGGTAAGCTTTTCTTAAAATTGGAACTGGTAAAAGTGTTTTTTACTTGAATGTAGAATTTCAGATAGCAAAGAAAATAGTTGAAATTGAATATATATATTTTTAGAAAGCAGCAAAAACTGCTTAGCTGCCCGCAGGAATTGCCTAAGGTATAATAAAGACAGACAAATACAAACATATTTTGATGTTGTTGTAGTTAGAAAGCAGCAAAAACTATTGTATGTTAAAACATAATAAAACTTATACATAATATTCATTTAGCAGAGTCAAATGCAAGTATGTTTGCATTTAGGCCTGCCTGTATTTGTAAATTCAAACAAATAAAGTATGAAAATAATTGCAAAAGCAGTAGTCAGATAGATAAATAGATGGTTGAATGGATTAAAAACATCATCCAAAATAAAGAAAAATCTCAAAACATTTCATTTCCAGTTTGCATGTGAATTTAGCGTTGTCAATGTATCATTGGATTAACTAGTAATGAATGTTTGGATTAGAACCGGTTAACATAAGTGAATCAAAGACTTGACCAAATCAAATTGACTCGCAACAAATGACACTTATGAGTCGGTTTTCATAAATGAGTCACTGACATCCCGCGTTACTTCAGTACGAACAATACGAGTCGTTTTTTGCGAATCCATCCAGACGAAGCGGTTACTTAAGTAGGCCTATTTTATTTTATTTATTTTTTTTCGTTATGACTGACTGTTATTTGGCGATTGTTCATATAATAACGTGTGGTTCATTATTTTCATGACAAGTCGTTTGTAATCAGCCATTACCTGCTTCTCTTTTAGTTTGAACAAATTATTACATTGCGCTTTTTCAGCCTCGTGTAACGTGGTGTTTTCTACAAAGTTTTCTCGGTCTTCAGAGGTTAGCATGAGGGCATCATGGCACGTGTCCTTCTGTCAAACGCAAAGGTGCGACATCAGCAAAAGTTTTGACACCTCGCATTCTGTCTCTCAGGTGCCTCAAACTGCTGGAGCATCATCTATTCGCATCATGTGGATGTTAGTTTAGCTGCAAAACATCGAGTTAGAGCAACAGCTAATACTGATAATTTAATTTAAAATTGGGTTCTAATTCTCACAAACAGTCTGAAGGAACTGAAAAGTTTTCAGTTGGACCAAGCAATGATTTCAAATTCAGTTTTCTAATAATGCAGCTGACAGAGTTGAAATATCAGATTGCATCAGTTACATTTTAAATTCATTATAATAGCCTTTCAATAAAATATTTTACATTTATGTTTTTACAATAGTATTTGAGAATGACTCTGATTTAAAGCTAAATCTATAAATAAAATATGAATATAAAAAAACTGGAATTATATAAATTTAATAAAACATCTCATACATTAAATATTTTTTAAATAGCTTTTTATTATGAAAAAAAATATATAATAAAATATTCAAAAACATATTACACAACAGAATAAAATTAGACAAAAAATGTTAAGTTGAAGATATCAGACATCGAATGCTCTGATCGATAAGCAAGAAATTACAAAATATCCTTCATGTTTTTTAAGCATTTAAACTTTTCTTTCCTTAAATAATTTCTGAAGCCACTTATTAAAAAAATTCTTACATTTTTATTTAAAAACAATGAACAAAAGTGCACTGAGTATTCAAATAAATTAGATAATGATCAGTTAAATGATGCATAAAAGTGCACATTTTTAGCAAGTCTGTGTAATGTTATGAAATATAGGTAATAAACAAAATCCTAAATATAATTAATAATTATCTAAAGCAAGGGTGCCCAAACCTTTTCTTATGAAGGGCCTAAATAACTAAACTTGATTGAGACCTGTGGGCTGAAGGTAAACCAAGTTGTATTACATTAAATATTCCATGAGTAATTTTGACCTAATTTATTTCCTAATATTAAAAACAAACAACAACTACAAAATATTGCTTTAAATTATATCAACTAATGCAGTTTATTAAAAAAATATTATAATGAATTTATTACAGTAAAAAAACACTAACAATCCCATTAACAACACAATGGAGTTCAATGCTGAATATACAAGCTGCACCTGCTTTTGCCTTAATTTGCTCTCTGATATCTAGTGCATTGCCCTCTATCCATCGAGTGACAGTATTTATATTAAAAATCCGGTTTATTTACAAAACAAAAATTACACAACAAACAAACAAATTGTTATATTAAATTTGAAATGACGATCTCTGTCATAGATATTCACCTTGAGCACCCCCCCACCATTGTCCCACTCTTCTCAAATGGGCTGGTGGGCCAAATTAAAGGTAAACATGGGCCAATTTTGGCCCACGGGCCCTACTTTGGGCATCTCTGAAATGAAGCAATTAAAGCTTAACAAAACAGATTCCCTCCAAATAAGTGCTTAAAAAAACAACAACACAAACCCACGTTTGTTATAGTTTATTTATTGGAGATATTCTGGGTGTTTCACAACAAAAGCAATACAAAGAACATTCCACAAGCACATCCTCAGACAAGACGGTCCATTTCTGACATGAAGAGAAACAGCACCAGATTGAGCTCGCTTTATCAGACTCACTGGCAGCACCAACATAAATGCGAGGTTTTGCTTCATGTGCCAGTCAAACATTGAAGTCTAATATCAGGCTATTACAGGCCTACAGCATCCGTTACGGGTTTCAAATGGGACCAACGTGATGAACATATGATCGGTTCTTCAGTTTGTGATTTTTACTCTTGTGGAGACTGGTCCAACCACCCCAAAACCCTTTCTAATCAGTGAGATCATACATAAGAGCATCATATGTGCATGTTCTGTCCAGGTAGTGCCATCTTTCACAGGAATGAATGTCTTTTTAGAGTTGGTCACTCCTTTTCCAACCCCTAAAATCCTGTTCAGCATAGCCCGATTGGATGTTTCTCCACACATGCCATTGTGTGCCCACTTACACCGTCCTCCTGTTCGACTGTGACCCTCATCTTAATGGCTGCTCACAGTCCAGACGGGGTGGTTTCGGGTGGTGCGAGCAGGACGAGTCTTCACTGCTGCTTTCGGGACCAGAAACGACCTGCAATGGTGCCTAATGAAAAGCCCTGTTTCTTCTGTTGCGCCATTTCTGAAATTCTCTGTTCTTCTTCCTGTATGTGTGAAAACATGCATGTGAATATAGTGAATACCATAAGGCAAGATAATGCAGGTGAATATGGCAACAAAAATATATATAACAATATAATATAATAATAATAATAATAATAATAATAAATAAATATATATATATATATATATATATATATATATATATCACCATATTTCTCTGGTTGATTGATTGATTGATTAGAATTTAATTCACATTTATTCCTATAGCGCTTTTACAATGTAGATTGTGTCAAAGCAGCTGAACACAGAAGTTCTAGTAAACTGAAACGGTGTCAGTCCAGTATTCAGAGTTGAAATTCAGTTTAGTTCAGTTCAGTGTGGTTTATTTTCCCTGATAAAAGTCCAAACACTGATGAGCAAATCCATCGATATGCAGCTCCACAAGTCCTTAACCAAGCCAGTGGTGACAGTAATGAGGAACAAACTTCACCAATTGACAAAAGTGAAGGAAACGTACATAATTTTTACATATTGCAGTAATTTGGCTAATTCTTACAAATGTATAAGATTGTATTTGTATAGCAATGTACAATTTTTACCCTCATCAAAATGTACTACAGTGTAAGAAATACAAATTAGCTACTAAATAAATGTACGAACTGCTGTGAGAGCGTGTTGGTTGAAAAAAGCAAACCGTTTACCTTTAAGGCAAATTATCTGAAATAATTCAATATGTAAATTAGTTCATTAAAAATGCACAATTTTCCATACATTTTTAAAATTTGATGTAAATTTATCTAAAACTGAAGGGTTATTTCAACCCAAAGTTTGGTAAAATAGGGAAAAACCCAAACCCGCTGGGTTAAATTTTGAAATTTATTTTATAACCCAACGCTTGGGTTTTTACCTATTTTACCTGAATTTGGTGTCAAAGTTTTTATACAGGGGTTTTTGGGAATGTTTTTGATTGCATAATTCAAAAAACATTTCAAAGAATTTTAGAAAATATTAGCGAAAAGCAAGAAAAGAAATAAACATTTTGTAGAAAAAATGTCAATAATCAGGCTAAATTTGAAACTTTTGTTGTTGTCTTAGTGAGTGTTTCTATTGTGTGACTGTTGTATTGTTGTATGTATGCAGTTGTTGTCTTAAATCCAGTGTTAAATACAAATTTCCTTTCTGTGCGAAGCAGAACAGGCAATAAAGTTTTAACTAAACTAAATTAATTATCCCTTCGTAACAAGCTTCTTTTAAAAACTGAAATAGTGTATATAAATGCTGCTGAAGTGGACAATTATGACTCAATGCAGAACAAAAAAAAATATATTATTATTTTTTTTTTATTAAAAAGCCTTTACAAATATTAGGGGTGTTAAAATTAATTGTTTCTTCCGTGCACCGCGATGCAGACGCAGACAATTCGGTATCAGTTCAGTAACAATCATAACCAGTTATTATGTAGTGACGTCATTTATCACATATGCGCTATGTCGCTGTAGCTTACTATGGTGAGGGAGGTGATCGCGAGTATTTACAACGCTGCAACTACTTACAAAATGCAGAAACTGTGCACAATTTCACTACGTGTGTGTTTTCTGGTCTTTCACTGACACTTACAGCAAAAGCCCCTATTTCACTGCGATTGAGAGAAAACTCCATTTCTCTCTCTTACTGTGACCTATTTGACCTGCTGGCGTGACTTTTCCTCTCCTCTCGGCTATTACAGCGATACTTCTAGATACAGACACGAGGGCATATCTGCAGAGTTTTCTCCACTGTGTCTGTAAGGGCTCAGCTGTGATCGCTGCTGGCCTTTATCAATGTCACTCGTCCGGGAAGAGCGCCAGCGTTGAGCGTGTGACCAATCAAAGGGGTGTAAGAGAACTTGGTAGACAGCTCGAAAGGGAAATTTTCATTTGTTTATATTATTTGCTATAAATGCTTTTGTTGTTTATAGGTACAGTTAATATATCTGACTGTGTTAAAGGACAACATTTTATTACAAATAGTATATAAATATATTTATACATTTTAATACAAGAATTGCTCCTGTAAAGAAAATCTAAAACTGTGTATGGAAAGCATTATCTATTCACCATAATGCACCAAGATATCGAATTGAACCGAATTGATGGCATGGTAATCATAACCAAACTGTGAGACTAGTGTAGGTTCACAGCTCTAACAAATATGTATTGTAATTGAAATCTTCAGACAAACTGATGAAGTGTTATAAATTAAACACTTGAGTTTAAGCATATTTTGATGCTTCCTTTACATTAAAATTGTAAAAAGAATTTGTAAAAGAAAAAAGTCCAAATCCCCAAAGTACAGGAGCATAGGGAAAATAAAAACCAGCAGCGTCTTGCATTTAATGTAAATCCTGTGACTCAATCATGAAACTGAAGTGCATACCTGTGCAAGCTGTGCCTGTCTTCTTTTGAAAGCTTCAATAGGGTCTTCCTCATGGGCGTAGTTCTCTAATACTGAACGCACATCCTCCACCCCGCTGATGGCAATAGCTGAACACCAAATAACAAGTCAACAAATGAAAGTTCCGAAACAAGATGTAATTATTTCTAATAGTGCACTAACTCACTTTTAAGGAAAGCAGCCAGGTCATACAGAGTGCGATCCTCTGAGTTTCCATCCCACTTGCACAGCGCCAAACCGTTGAAGGGCTGCAGACCGAAAGCCTCCCGCTTACAGTCCACCACGATGACTTTAGAGGTGTCTCTGTTCAAACAAGACACGTCCTGCAGGACAGACAATCACAGTTATTGCTGAATAATATTTAGCAGTTTTACTAAAGTTAGTTAATTGCCCAAATATAAATCTCACTAAATAAACAACAAAAATGACAGCAAAAAGTGGATATTTACATAAAACTACATTTAAAGAAAGAAAATAAATTGGAAGTTTTATACAAATAAGATAATAAAAAGAAATTAATAAAATCTTATTATAAAAATGTTAAAACATTTCAATACTTAAAAAACTCTGGAATTTGGAAAGTTGATGTAATTGCAATATGTTTGAGATAGACAAAGGTAGATTCAGATCCCTAACCCTAATAGTTAGAGACTTGAACTTGTAATTCAAAGGTTGCAGGTTCCATAATAGCTGCCCAATGGGCACTGGGTGTGTGCGCTCACATTGTGTGTATGCCTTGGATAGGTCAAAAGCAAAAGACCAATTTTAAGTATGGACAGAAACATACTTAACAATTATTTGCTTTGCTTCACTTTAATATTAAATTATTCATTATATAAGATGTTTTAAATGGCACCTATTTTACCCCTTTTACAAGATGTAAGATAAGCCTTTGATGTCTCCAGAATGTGTCTAAAGTTACAACTCAAAATACCCATCAGATAATTTGTTGTAGCCTCCAGAATATGCCAATTTTGGTGTCTGAGTACAGTGTACTGTTTTTGTAGCGTGTGGCTTTAAATGTTAATGAACTGCTTCTCCCCACCCACTGGTCCCATGTGCGTGTCTGCTTTTCCTGCTTTACATCAGATAAACAGCAGTTACTGATAGTGACACACGGATGAAGCTTAAATACAGCTCATCAGTAACAAATACCAAGTAAGTGTATTTGATGTATTTGCGGTGGAGTTTATTCAAGCCTTTCTGAAAAGATGAGTCACACACAAATGCTGTTTGCAGCACACACGCAAATATATGCATTTACAGACACCAACCTGCCCTGGTGATTATAGCAGATAATTACATAGCGATTTTACTGTCTTCATTACAAACATGCCGTTTTAAAAACGTTTTAAATTTATAAAAATCACAAAGAGTTGGACCAAATATTTTAATCACAGTTTCTTTGCAAAACAAAGTTCTGTGGACATGTGCATTATACATATTATAGAAACATGGCAGCTGTCAATCAATTCGTTGGGTGGGGAAAACTGCATTCTAACGTCACATTGGGCCTCAAAATTACTGGGATTTGGGTCCTATTTTAATTTTAAGAAATTAAAAAATAGATAAATAAAAATAAATAAATAAAATAATAGCACTCCAACATGACACTGGACTAGGCAACGATAACCAATGTATACAAGGTATACCGCAGTTTGGAAAAGTCAAGGTTTTAAAAGCGTCAAATTCTCTGCTATACTGTTCCTACAGTATATGTACATTTTTTTATTTACGTTTTAGTTTTTTAGGACAACAGTATCTACAGCAGAAAATAGATCCGAAGATGACATTTTAAATTGTAAAGGAGTGTGTTTTTAAAACTAATGAAGACAGCAGACGTTAATGATCCATTTCAATTACTTAGCCTGACATGTTTACTGCTCCAAAATATATTTTAAACGTTTCTCTAAAAATATATGGTCACACTTTACAATAAGGTTCATTAGTTAATGTTAATTAATGCATTTACTAACATGAACAAATAATGAACATTACATAGACTACTGTATTTGTTCATGTAAGTTAAGGTTAGTTAATGAAAATACAGTAGTTCATTGTTAGTTTGTTAACTCATGGTGCATTAACTAATGTTAACAAGTATGGACTTGAATGTTAATAATGCATTAGTAAATGTTCAATTATGATTAATAAATGCTGTACAAGTGTTGTTCATGATTAGTTCATGTTAGTAAATGCATTAACTAATGAACCTTATTGTAAAGTGTTACCAAATATATATTGTGTTCAAAGGGGGGAAAGTTGTTGTTTTTTTACCCAGACATTTAAAAAGAATATTTTTTAGCATAATAATCCCAATACAGTGAAATCATGATATTTTTATCCCAGGTTATGATAGTCAGAATCTATACTGGCCCATGCCTATAGTGGACACACTATACATACAGACAGTTCTGTCCAAACAGCTTACAAAAGTTGATTTTCATCATAGGTGCCCTTTAAAATGATTGAAATGGAAGTTTTTTTTTTATTTCTGTTTTTATTTATTTATTTTTTTTAGATGTTTTATACTCATTTAAATTAGACTTTAACATTGATGATGCTAAAATTAAATTCAAATGAAAAGAAAATGTATAAAAAAAATAAAATTCACTGATATGGTTCAACCCTAAGAACAATGTGTAACACTCAGCTTCTTGCATGTAGAGTTCTACCAAGACATCTACCAAAACCGCTCCAGTCAACTCATCCCAGCTATACATACAAATTGGGGTTAAACATGACCTCTCACACCTCTGACCGTTTGTGCAACACTGAACTGAACCATATTTACACCTATGCATTTGTGGAGGGGTGCAAAGACTTAACACCAGGCCATTGCCCTTGTTGCTCATGCTAATGCACGCATACACTCTCACACACATACACACACACACACAGCAGGCCAACTGTCTCAGCGGTGGTCCTCCAGAGCAGATGGACGGGGACGCTGCACTCTCTCTATCACTCAGGTCATCAGCTTCCCCCTCAGGGACTCCAAAAAAAAAAAAAAGGGAGAGAGAGAGGGATGGAGGGGCCCCAGAAAGGAAAGCCCTGTTGACGGCGGCACACGCTCCGTAGCATCTACAATAAATGACCTGCATCTGCCTTCCCTGTAACCCCAGTGGGAGTTTCACTGTAGTTCTTATTGACTGTATGAGCGTGCATGTATGAATAATGAGATTTTTATGGATTACGGCAATATGTGTCCTCAAAATCCTATTCAGAGCGATTATTAGTTGGTTTATGTAGCTTCAGTGTGTGTGTGTGTGTGTGTGAGACGCAGCTGGGCATATGAGTGTCATGTTGCGAGTCAAACAGTGTGTTCAATTCCCCAGGTGAAGCGTTGGAGCACGAGCCGGATGAAGTGTGCCGCTAACTGTACACACGTGCCACGCTACACACCTGCCAATCAAAGCTGAAAACGCCTCCCTATCTGTGCTCCAATGGGGGAGGAGCAGCAGCTACTGGTGGCAGATCTGGAGGGGAAAAACTGAACAATGTTTCTTATTTATTTTCCTGGATTCTATTATTTTTTTTGACAGACCAAAGATGAAAACATATTTTAGTAACTCCTAATCAAGCATCCTTAGCTGAAATCGTTAAAGATATTTGATGATTCATTTAAATTAATGATTCAATGACACATTTTAACAGTTTTCTCATGTGTGGTGCAATAGGAGAGTCGAATCATGAATGTTCAGCCGACAAATCTACAGCAACTGTGGGATGCCATCATGTCAATATTGACCAAAATCTTTGTGGAATATTTCCAGTACCTTGTACTAGTAAGGTGTACCTAATAAAGTGGCCTGTGAGTTTAGTTTATATAAAACTACATATAAAACACCAAAAAAGTTTTGAAATAAACTGAAATAAACAGTCATTTCAAAAATGTTTTCATTTTTATTGAAATAACTAAACTAATAACTTAATTATTGCAAAGTTCTCTAAAAATGAATTTTAATTGAATTTTTATCCCAATTTCTTTAATTTTTATTATTCAGGAATTTTTAATGGTTAACTTAAATTCTAGTAAACAATAAGCATGTGTAATTGATTACACGCTGTAACAATTTCATCTTTTATTTTCTTGCAAGTACGCTAACCTTAATTTGAGTGCCTCATGAAATCAGCCTAATTATTCTACCTTGGCAAAAAGTCATCAGAGGAGGAGGGGCCTGGAGAAAAAAAAAACATCCAATACTTTGAATTTGGACTGCAATATCTAGTTCAACTGCTAGGTGTCATTCCTACATATTGCATCTTTTTTAGGGGGTATCGACTATTTTTTTGGACAGGACAGTGGAAATGAATGTAAAACAATGGTCTCAGCGCATTTCCTGTTTTAAAGTTTTAAATTCTGTAGTTTCCGAGAAGCCAAAAAGGTCTTGATAAATAATGTTATGATAGCTGTTTTAACATGAAGTTATGATTGAATTGCCTGTTGTTATAGTTATAAAATAGTTTGATAAGACGCTGAAAATATCCATGAGCCTGTGACAACACAATGAAATAACCTTGGCAGGAAACTGTAGGGAACAGAGCGAAAGGAAGGATCGGCAAAGGACCGTGAGTCAGGAATCAAACTCGGGTCACCGTGAGCTAGGGCTGTGCGATTTAGGGAAATATCTAATTGCTATTTTTTTCAACAGATATTGCGATTTCATTTTGTAGTCAAGCTTTAGCTCAAAAATCGTCATCGTAGCTTCCTACTGCTAAAATACAATGCATGTTAAAAAAAGGAACTGAAAAGATATTAACTTGCATACATTTATTCAAATTTATTTGTAAATATTCAGAAATGAAACACTCATTTTTCTCTAGACCAAACAATAAACAAAAATAAAATGACCCTAACTTTCTGTAAACAAGTTGAACTCGAGGAGAAAGTGTAGCTTATTATAAAAACAAAAAATAATTATAAAATACTAGGGCTGTAACGATACACGATATAAAATCGAAATCGCGACACTCAGATCTACGATCCTGTGTCGCGGTGTAATAAGGAAGAATCGCGACACACCCACCCCGTGATACCTTTCCAATAACGTCACGCGTGCCTGCAAAAGTTGAGCTAATTAACATTTTTTTCGTTCGACATTACAAGCACTGCTCCGTTTAAGCCCTCGCAATATTTAGCCGGGAGAGCTCGCACGGAGCTCTTAGTAAGGGACCGTCTGAATGTGTCAAGAATATCAAAAACAAAACCAACTTAACCCCGCTTGACAACCGACAACGCCAGAAACATTGCCACTGCTGTCAAAGCGGCCGGATTTTCAGCGCATATACGATGACTTGCTCACACTGTTAATGTGGCTGC